CTGGGATTACAGGCACGCGCCACCATGCCCAGCTAATTTTTTGTATTTTTAGTAGAGACGGGGTTTCACCATGTTGACCAAGATGGTCTCATCTCTTGACCTCGTGATCCACCTGCCTCGGCCTCCCAAAGTGCTGGGATTATAGGCTTGAGCCACCGCGCCCGGCGAAACTTGCCTTTCTTAATCAAGCAGAAATAGATCCCTCTTACATCAAAGTTTGTGTTACCTTGAAATAGATTGGAAAGAATACATTTTTCTAAGTCATTTTTTGCTTGGATTTTTTCCAGTTACAGAAACCCTGAAGTAAGAGCACTTGCCAATTATCTCAGGACTGTGAGAATCCTTTTTTTTTTGCTTAAGATTGTGGCTGGCTTCTTCTACATCTTTACATTATCACACATCAAGCATATTAGAAAAACAGGGACTGGGTGCGGTGGCTCATGCCTGTAAATCCCAGCACTTCGGGAGGCTGAGGCAGGCAGATCACCTGTGGTTGGGAATTCAAGACCAGGCTAACCAACGTGGAGAAACCCTGTTTCTAATAAAAACACAAAATTAGCCGGGCGTGGTGATGCATGGCTGTAATCCCAGCTACTCAGAAGACTAAGGCAGGAAAATCGCTTGAACCCAGGAGGTGGAGGTTGCAGTGAGCCGAGATCATGCCATTGCACTCCAGCCTGGCAACAAAAGGGAAACTCTGCTAAAAAAAAAAAGAAAGAAAGAAAGAAAGAAAGGGAAAGAAAAGAAAAAGGGGGGACTTAGGAAAGGAAGAGTGAGGGGTCCGGACTTTAGGCTTGGCAGCCCTCTTGCTTATCTACTTGGTGATTTCTGGCATCTCCCTTTCTCTACGTCCTTCAACCCCTTTCCTAAGCGTAAACCTTTCTGTTTTTAGTCCTAAACTTCTCTTTTCACAGTATTCCTGTCAAATGAGTACGTGGACCCGTATTTCATACATGATTTGTTTTGTTAATTGCTTTATGGATTATTTGTGGCAAAATTTAAATCCTAATTCCTTTCTGCAATTCAGCCAGTAAATTCAGGGAATGTACTATTTTATGTTTGCAGTATGTGCCGAAGCTCCATCTAAGAAGATAAAATGAAACTGAGTCTCATATTTGGCATTCTTTTAGGTTTGTTTACGTACCTTATTCATCAATGTAAATAATTGAATTTGTTTGTATTTTACCATTCATAAACCAGGTTAGTAGACATATATTAATAGGGGGCTTTCTGTGTGTATGTGTCTTTCTTCCCCCGCCCTTTTTTGTTTTTGAGCCAGAGTCTCATCTGTTGTCCAGGCTAGAGTGAAGTGGTATGATCTCAGCTCACTGCAACTTCCACCTCCTGGGTTCAAGCAATTCTCCTGCCCCAGCCTCCCTACTAGCTGGGATTACAGGCGGCACCACCATGCCCAGCTAATTTTTGTATTTTAGTAGA